GTATTGTTAGAACTGTCCATGTGGTGGAAATATGCTGTGAGAAATACAGATATTACTACATGTAGCTGTTGAAAGAATCCAATACATGTCTACAGGTACACATCAACATCACCACCAATAGGATACAGGTCTACAGGTACACATCAACATCACCACTAATAGGATACAGGTCTACAGGTACACATCAACATCACCACCAATAGGATACAGGTCTACAGGTACACATTAACATCACCACCAATAGGATACAGGTCTACAGGTACACATCAACATCACCACCAATAGGATACAGGTCTACAGGTACACACAACATCACCACCAATAGGATACAGGTCTACAGGTACACATCAACATCACCACCAATAGGATACAGGTCTACAGGTACACATCAACATCACCACCAATAGGATACAGGTCTACAGGTACACATCAACATCACCACCAATAGGATACAGGTCTACAGGTACACATCAACATCACCACCAATAGGATACAGGTCTACAGGTACACATCAACATCACCACCAATAGGATACAGGTCTACAGGTACACATCAACATCACCACCAATAGGATACAGGTCTACAGGTACACATCAACATCACCACCAATAGGATACAGGTCTACAGGTACACATCAACATCACCACCAATAGGATACAGGTCTACACGTACACACAACATCACCACCAATAGGATACAGGTCTACAGGTACACACAACATCACCACCAATAGGATACAGGTCTACAGGTACACATTAACATCACCACCAATAGGATACAGGTCTACAGGTACACATCAACATCACCTCCAATAGGATACAGGTCTACAGGTACACACAACATCATCACCAATAGGATACAGGTCTACAGGTACATATCAACATCACCACCAATAGGATACAGGTCTACAGGTACACACAACATCATCACCAATAGGATACAGGTCTACAGGTACACACAACATCATCACCAATAGGATACAGGTCTACAGGTACACACAACATCACCACTAATAGGATACAGGTCTACAGGTACACACAACATCACCACCAATAGGATACAGGTCTACAGGTTCACATTAACATCACCACCAATAGGATACAGGTCTACAGGTACACATCAACATCACCTCCAATAGGATACAGGTCTACAGGTACACACAACATCACCACTAATAGGATACAGGTCTACAGGTACACATCAACATCACCACCAATAGGATACAGGTCTACAGGTACACACAACATCACCTCCAATAGGATACAGGTCTACAGGTACACACAACATCACCACTAATAGGATACAGGTCTACAGGTACACATCAACATCACCACCAATAGGATACAGGTCTACAGGTACACATCAACATCACCACCAATAGGATACAGGTCTACAGGTACACATCAACTTCACCACCAATAGGATACAGGTCTACAGGTACACATCAACATCACCACCAATAGGATACAGGTCTACAGGTACACATTAACATCACCACCAATAGGATACAGGTCTACAGGTTCACATTAACATCACCACCAATAGGATACAGGTCTGCAGGTACACATCAACATCACCTCCAATAGGATACAGGTCTACAGGTACACACAACATCACCTCCAATAGGATACAGGTCTACACGTACACACAACATCACCACTAATAGGATACAGGTCTACAGGTACACATCAACATCACCACCAATAGGATACAGGTCTACAGGTACACATCAACATCACCACCAATAGGATACAGGTCTACAGGTACACATCAACATCACCACCAATAGGATACAGGTCTACAGGTACACATCAACATCACCACCAATAGGATACAGGTCTACAGGTACACATCAACATCACCACCAATAGGATACAGGTCTACAGGTACACACCAACATCACCACCACTAGGATACAGGTCTACAGGTACACACCAACATCACCACCACTAGGATACAGGTCTACAGGTACACATCAACATCACCACCAATAGGATACAGGTCTACAGGTAGATATCAACATCACCACCAATAGGATACAGGTCTACAGGTACACACAACATCACCACCAATAGGATACAGGTCTACAGGTACACATCAACATCACCACCAATAGGATGCAGGTCTACAGGTAGATATCAACATCACCACCAATAGGATACAGGTCTACAGGTACACACAACATCACCACCAATGGGATACAGGTCTACAGGTACACATCAACATCATCACCAATAGGATACAGGTCTACAGGTACACATCAACATCACCACTAATTGGATACAGGTCTACAGGTACATATCAACATCACCACCAATAGGATACAGGTGTCCCCTGCATGTATCAAAATCAGCACCAATATGACACAGGTGTCCCCTGTATGTATCAAAATTAGTACCAGTATGGAAAAGGTGTCCCCTGCATGTATCAAAATTAGCACCAGTATTGAAAAGGTGTCCCCTGTATGTATCAAAATTAGTACCAGTATGGAAAAGGTGTCCCCTGTATGTATCAAAATTAGCACCAATATGACACAGGTGTCCCCTGTATGTATCAAAATTAGTACCAGTATAATGCAGATGCTCCAAGTATGTAATGAAACATCTTCTGACTAATGGAAAAGAAGATTCACCTTTCAAAACATTGATACAATATTTCTCACCTGAGAATATTTTCACTGTAACCTGAGTGCTTTATAACGATGAGACTAAGATAATTACCAGCCTACCAATATATCAGAAACAAGCACTATACCTATAGATTTTAATTATTTTCTTTAGAAGTCTGTAATGTGATATTCCTGTTTATATAGACCTGCCATAAATCAATCCACGTAGTGATTGGTCGGCCAGGTACTAAAATAACAATTTATGGAAACGCCAAAAATGTTGTGATATTTTGGTATTATATATGGAAATACTTTTATTGTGTTAATCACAAATATTGGAACAGCCAGATTTTTGTAAGTGCTTGTTGAGGTCAACATCGACAGGAATGTATACAACTCACAAGTATAAGGCGTTTATCTAAACACATGGTTAATACTACAATGACTGTTTTGATAATGTCATTGGCATACACAGATTCCAAAATTTATAATCACAATAAGACATGAGCCAGAGGAAAGGGATTGTCCTTAAAATTAGTATCAAGAGTCATGACAATTGTCCATAATAATTAAGTCAAGTCTGATTGGAGAGTCTGACAGCTTGGTCTTACAGCAGGGTCTCACAACAAGGTCTGACAGCTGGGTCTGATGGCAGAGTCTTATAACAGGCTCTGACAGCAGGGTCTGACAGCAGGGTCTGATAGCAGGATCTGACAGCAGGGTCTGACAGCAGGATCTGACAGCAGGGTCTGACAGCAGGGGTATCTCTCCAACACTATACAACATTCTGTAGACAACAGTACCTCTCCAACAGCAGACAACATTCTGTAGACAACAGTACTTCTCCAACAGTAGACAACATTCTGTAGACAACAGTACCTCTCCAACAGTAGACAACATTCTGTAGACAACAGTACCTCTCCAACAGTAGACAACATTCTGTAGACAACAGTACCTCTCCAACAGTAGACAACATTCTGTAGACAACAGTACCTCTCTAACAGTATACAACATTCTGTAGACAACAGTACTTCTCCAACAGTAGACAACATTCTGTAGACAGCAGTACCTCTCTAACAGTATACAACATTCTGTAGACAACAGTACTTCTCCAACAGTAGACAACATTCTGTAGACAACAGTACCTCTCTAACAGTATACAACATTCTGTAGACAACAGTACCTCTCTAACAGTATACAACATTCTGTAGACAACAGTACTTCTCCAACAGTAGACAAAATTCTGTAGACAACAGTACCTCTCTAACAGTATACAACATTCTGTAGACAACACTACCTCTCCAATAGTTGACAACAGTACCTCTCCAACAGTAGACAACATTCTGTAGACAACAGTATCTCTCCAACAGTAGACAACATTCTGTAGACAACAGTACCTCTCTAACAGTATACAACATTCTGTAGACAACAGTACCTCTCCAACAGTAGACAACATTCTGTAGACAACAGTACCTCTCCAACAGTAGGCAACATTCTGTAGACTATAGTACCTCTCCAACAGTACACAACATTTTGTAGGCTATTTGTTATTAAAACTGTGACCCATAATTTCACGTCTAAAAAGCAGCCAATCAGCCAGGTTCTGAGTTATGAAACAGGAAATGTATCTAGAAATGGTCTCCATCATAACGTTTGATGTTTCGCCTCTGGATAAATCATACAATGCTAGTTACCTGTTTAATACTTTCAATCAATTCACATTTATGTAAAACCGAATCAGACCCAAGGAAATCGATCTGAGATCTTTTACCATCCTATTCTCATTTAAACAAAAATTACTGAACAATTATTTCAACAAATTAAAACATTAAAAACTCTCTCAAGTCATAACTGTAAGATTGAGAAATTACATATAGTGTACAATTAAAGCATTTCATTGATCCAGATATCATATACTGTAGGATTAAAGCATTTCATTGATCCAGATATCATATACTGTAGGATTAAAGCATTTCATTGATCCAGATACCATTGCAAATGAATGTTCCTTTAAACAATGTTGATGATAACTACATTGTAAAAAATAATCAATGTTTAATTGAAGGACTACTGTACATTATAAGGAGGCTGTAGATAGACTGGTGTACATAAGGAGGCTGTAGATAGACTGGTGTACATAAGGAGGCTGCAGATAGACTGGTGTACATAAGGAGGCTGTAGATAGACTGGTGTACATAATGAGGCTGTAGATAGACTGGTGTACATAAGGAGGCTGTAAATAGACTGGTGTACATATGTAGGCTTGACAATCTGCCCCCTCAATCACTTGATGAACGGTTAAACAGTCTCCCCTCTAATGATGGCTGGGTGGACAAATGTACTTGATATATAAGCTAATACTTTATTACATGGTCCTGTGTATTTCCCTTACCTTGTCTGTCAGTTGATGCCAGGGAACTGACAGAGGAGCTTGGCTTCATGCCTTGCATCATGCTCCTTTCAAGCCCCACTTTCTGTTGCCTGATCATCCAATCAAATTAAGTAAGTCAATTTCAAATTATAATCCAACAAAAGTTCAAGTGAGAAATCCTCTATTTCCATGGCAACACAATGCTGAATCTAAGCCATACTCTCTGGTCAATCTGGAAACATACAGAAGAAAATTTAATGTTATGTTGAGTACATTCTAGTTTTTTGACATTTAGAAAAACAAAAAGATATATGTTGGTTGACAATTATCATATATTTAATGGTTGCCAACTTCTGCAGAATCATTCTTTTTTGTGGGCATTTATTTTCTTAGTACTCTTAATCCACAAATTTATATGACCATGAACTGCTGAAATTAAGTAGATTTGTTTTGTTAGATTTGTCCACAAAATCTAGTGTCGAAATAATAGCTTATGGAAAATCTGAGAAAACTCAGCCCCACTTTTCATAGATTTTACAGTAAAAAGTATAAATATTTAAACAAGTTCTTCCATCTAGATTTTTATCTTTGTCTCGTAAAAACCAATATGCCCAGAGATCTTGAAAAACAGCAGAGCTGTATTATTTCATTTTTTGTCAGAAATCCAAGATACGCCTTTGAAATCAATCTATTTTTGTTTGTGAGGAATCTCATATATTTACTTTGACGTCAAGCTACGATGTATTTTTTTTAATGATCTTGTACTATACAAGCACTCCAAATTCACTTGAGACATACATTATATACCAGAAATTATCTGTTTGGTTTTTTTATGTCCATAAAAGAATTATCGAACATACTTCATTCATCAGTTCCTTGAATAAAAACATGCACATAATGAAACTTGTATGTAAAGTTTAACATTTTACAAAAACTTTATACATTGGATAAAACTCTCTATTCACTTAATCAGGCTGGGTCTGGATTTAGTACAGGGCAAGTTCTAGAATTATATTTTGGCAGAATACCAACATTGTGACACTCAATAGGGCTGTAACTTTTTTATTGGACAGTTCTAAACACACTCAGTTTAAATCCTACCTATAAATCTACATTATACAATTACAGTTTTCCTGTCATAGCGTACCTGTGGAAATCTACACATTCAACGCTAATGCTGTCATTGTCTACAATTCAAACAAACACTTTCATCTGTCATTAACAGGATTTGAAATTAAACGGCAGGGGAGGATTTTTGCCAGTACATATATTTATACACATGATGAACCGTCAACATATCTAAATAATACATTAAAATCAATATTTATTTCAGGACCACAGACATCTATGAGCCTTCACATTAGTAGAAAAATGTTTTGCACAATTGTCAAGGGTTTGATTCTGGTTCGAAGTACTGTGTATGTACATTAACACACATATATATATGATACCTATGTTGTATCTCTATCTGTATCTATATTGTATATACTCTACATATCAGCTGGATTTGTTGCCATGTGTCAGGATCATTTTCAGAGGAGGTCTTGATCCAGGTAGCAGCTAGTGGCTACCTCACTGAACGACATATGGGAGGCCCATCACATGAAAACCGGAGCAACTCAGTTGACACACTATATGTATGCTGATTAATAATTATAAGCTACTCTGATGAATGTTGAGTTTAAAACTTTTGTATGTTGAGTAATGTTATTCTAAGAGTGTTAAGTTTGTAGCTCAATGTTAGGTAACAGCTTACTGGTGTGTATATATAGGGTTATTCCCTATGTCCTTATTCAAGGTGAAGTCAGGCATGAAGTGTGTCCTAAAGAAACGGCCTGACCATGAAATCAGTACACAAAAGAGTTAAGTATATCATTGTACACTCCATGCCACAGTCTGTATAATGGTGATGATATATGATGATAACATTACAACTAAACAATGTATACTTCAAACTGACATATCTTTAACTAAATACATGTAGATGAAATCTTCATGAACAAAATTAATGATTATGATTTTTAATTATCACAAAACTTCAAATGACATATTGATTTTTTTTTCATATTAAGCAATACACAGTGCACAGCTGATACATGTATATAATTTGTATTAAGAAAAATTATCATGGAAATTTAGAAACCTGAAACAATGATATGAGTTATCCTCACAGTAGAATACATCCAGCTATATCCTACATTGTAGGTGAATTTCCTTGTCGTCGTACACTTTTCTGACAGCTATATCCTACATTGTAGGTGAATCTCCTTGTCGTCGTACACTTTTCTGACAGCTATATCCTACATTGTAGGTGAATCTCCTTGTCGTCGTACACTTTTCTGACAGCTATATCCTACATTGTAGGACAATTTCCTGTCATCATACCCTTTTCTGACAACTATATAACATTGTAGGTGAATTTCCTTGTCGTCGTACACTTTTCTGACAGCTATATCCTACATTGTAGGTGAATTTCCTTGTCGTCGTACACTTTTCTGACAGCTATATCCTACATTGTAGGTGAATTTCCTTGTCATCATACCCTTTTTCTGACAGCTATATCCTACATTGTAGGTGAATTTCCTTGTCATCATACCCTTTTTCTGACAGCTATATCCTACATTGTAGGTGAATTTCCTTGTCATCATATCCTTTTCTGACAGCTATATCCTACATTGTAGGTGAATTTCCTTGTCGTCGTACACTTTTCTGACAGCTATATCCTACATTGTAGGTGAATTTCCTTGTCATCATACCCTTTTTCTGACAGCTATATCCTACATTGTAGGTGAATTTCCTTGTCATCATACCCTTTTTCTGACAGCTATATCCTACATTGTAGGACAATTTCCTGTCATCACACCCTTTTCTGACAACTATATAACATTGTAGGTGAATTTCCTTGTCGTCGTACACTTTTCTGACAGCTATATCCTACATTGTAGGACAATTTCCTGTCATCATACCCTTTTCTGACAACTATATAACATTGTAGGTGAATTTCCTTGTCGTCGTACACTTTTCTGACAGCTATATCCTACATTGTAGGTGAATCTCCTTGTCGTCATACACTTTTCTGACAGCTATATCCTACATTGTAGGTGAATTTCCTTGTCGTCGTACACTTTTCTGACAGCTATATCCTACATTGTAGGTGAATTTCCTTGTCGTCGTACACTTTTCTGACAGCTATATCCTATATTGTAGGTGAATTTCCTTGTCGTCGTACACTTTTCTGACAGCTATATCCTACATTGTAGGTGAATTTCCTTGTCGTCGTACACTTTTCTGTCAGCTATATAACATTGTAGGTGAATTTCCTGTCATCATACCCTTTTCTGACAACTATATAACATTGTAGGTGAATTTCCTTGTCGTCGTAAACTTTTCTGACAGCTATATCCTACATTGTAGGTGAATTTCCTTGTCATTATACCATTTTTCTGACAGCTATATCCTACCTTGTAGGTGAATTTCCTGTCATCATACCCTTTTCTGACAGCTATATCCTACATTGTAGGTGAATTTCCTGTCATCATACCCTTTTCTGACAGCTATATCCTACATTGTAGGTGAATTTCCTGTCATGATACACTTTTCTGACAACTATATAACATTGTAGGTGAATTTCCTTGTCGTCGTACACTTTTCTGACAGCTATATCCTATATTGTAGGTGAATTTCCTTGTCGTCGTACACTTTTCTGACAGCTATATCCTACATTGTAGGTGAATTTTCTGTCATCATACCCTTTTCTGACAGCTATATAACATTGTAGGTAAATTTTTTGTCATCATACCCTTTTCTGACAGCTATATAACATTGTAGGTGAATTTCCTGTCATCATACCCTTTTCTGACAGCTATATCCTACATTGTAGGTGAATTTCCTTGTCGTCGTACACTTTTCTGACAGCTATATCCTACATTGTAGGTGAATTTCCTATATCATTGTAGGTGAATACACTTTTCTGACAGCTATATGACAGCTATATAACATTGTAGGTGAATTTCCTGTCATCATACACTTTTCTGACAGCTATATAACATGGTAGGTGAATTTTCTGTCATCATACCCTTTTCTGACAGCTATATAACATTGTAGGTGAATTTTTTGTCATCATACCCTTTTCTGACAGCTATATAACATTGTAGGTGAATTTCCTGTCATCATACCCTTTTCTGACAGCTATATCCTACATTGTAGGTGAATTTCCATTGTAGGTCATCATACCCTTTTCTGACAGCTATATAACATTGTAGGTGAATTTCCTTGTCGTCGTACACTTTTCTGACAGCTATATCCTACATTGTAGGTGAATTTCCTTGTCGTCGTACACTTTTCTGACAGCTATATCCTACATTGTAGGTGAATTTCCTGTCATCATACCCTTTTCTGACAGCTATATAACATTGTAGGTGAATTTCCTGTCATGATACACTTTTCTGACAGCTATATAACATTGTAGGTGAATTTTTGTCATCTACCCTTTTCTGACAGCTATATCCTACATATATTTCCTGTCATCATACCCTTTTCTGACAGCTATATAACATTGTAGGTGAATTTTTTGTTCATACCCTTTTCTGACAGCTATATAACTTGGTAGGTGAATTTTCTGTCATCTTACCCTTTTCTGACAGCTATATCCTACATTGTAGGTGAACTTCCTTGTCATCATATCCTTTTCTGACAGCTATATAACATTGTAGGTAAATTTCCTGTCATCATACCCTTTTCTGACAGCTATATCCTACATTGTAGGACAATTTCCTGTCATCATACCCTTTTCTGACAGCTATATCCTACATTGTAGGTGAATTTCCTTGTCGTCGTACACTTTTCTGACAGCTATATCCTACATTGTAGGTGAATTTCCTTGTCGTCGTACACTTTTCTGACAGCTATATCCTACATTGTAGGTGAATTTCCTTGTCGTCGTACACTTTTCTGACAGCTATATCCTACATTGTAGGTGAATTTCCTGTCATCATACCCTTTTCTGACAGCTATATAACATTGTAGGTAAATTTTTTGTCATCATACCCTTTTCTGACAGCTATATAACATTGTAGGTGAATTTCCTGTCATCATACCCTTTTCTGACAACTATATAAC